AGGAGTATATAAATCTTATAATATTACAGTAATATACAGTTCTTAGTATAAAGCTTAAAAGGAAAAAAATAAAATCCACGCTTCAAGTCAGAAAATACTATGCCCCTAAGTTATTTTCATACTTTCGTTCCCGAAAAACTAACTCCTATGTTTAACTTCATCACTATAGTCATGTTTCTTTTTGCTTTTTTCTTGATAAATAACATTTCCTGGTTATCTTGGTAGACCTTAAATCACCCTCTTTACCTAGATCATACTTATTGACATGTGGAAGTCAAAGCTCCGCACAGTACTCTAGAAGTGACTTCTGTTGGCAGATACAAAATAAATACTATTTTCCTCATTCTGATTGTTACTTCCATGCATCTGAGAATTTCCCCTGGATGTTACAGCATTCCAATGAGATTTGTGTTCAAGCAGTTATTTCCTGTCATCACAGGCTTTCCAAAGTCACTCTTTTCCAAGACAGAGGCACTCCTCTTTTAAGACTGAAACACATTCTTTGTTCTTAGATATGTGAGCTCACATCTATTGGCCATAAGGCTCCTTAGTCCCACCACAGCAAACCGGTAACGCTTCAATTTTTTTTCTTCAAATCTGTTGATAAAAATATTGAATGAGACTTCTTTAGAGCTCTGCCACAGATCATCCCATCATATGAGAGCTACTGTCTTACATTTTTATCATGGTTACCTGTTTTCCTAATATCCCTACTACACATTATGCTGGTTTTCCATAATAAAAGAATTAGCACATAATACAGCAGTAGAACAAATGCCTTACAGAAGGCAGTCAATGCTAGTAGCTAGATTCATTACTTCATTAAAAGGTTACCAAGTGAACTTGGCAAGATCTGTTTCTAAAATAAATAAATTTGCTGCATCTAAAAAGCATTTTTCAAATGACCATATGCTCCTATGGGCTTAACTATACATAAATATATGTATTCATATCAAGCAGCACAACATCTGTGTATCAAAATGAATTATCATGGATTTCTTCAATTTGTAAGGATTTGGAAGTGCCAGATATCTGGATCTGGATTTAGCTAGCTTCCCTTCACAACACTTGTCTAGCGAGAATAATCATCAGTAGTTTAAATTTTCATAGATGAATTCAGAATTTGGTATCTTACCCTAGTTCAAATTCACTCTTTCAGTAGAAATGCCTCATAAGAATTAAGCTCCCTCAATACATACTTAAATACTTTATCTGTGAACATTTGAGAGATATGTTGATTTCTGAAATAATAACCTGATATAAATACTTCCAAAAAGGCAGCAGAAAATATACTTGTTTCCTCTTGTTTTTTTTGTGTTTAACATTTTACAGTGACTACCTGGAGAGATTCAAATCAAGAGCTGAAATGAAAATATTTTCATGTGTGTTTCCCTAATTTCCAAATTTCAGAGTTTTAGCCTTTTGAAAGAAACCATTCTGATTTAGTCTTCTATTTTTTTTTCTCCATATGCTGTGCTTCTCCAAATCTTTTGTTCAACTTCTACATTAAAAAAAAAAAACCACTCATGCCCAATTTCAAGACTCCTCTGCCAATATCAGAGGAACTTTTGAAGTTTAGTGCATGTGAATACAGACTGAAATTGAAAGCCTTTATAAAATGTCATCCTAAGATTTCCTAACTGCATAATAGCACTCATTAAATAAAACCACCATAAAATCAGATATGAAATGGATATAAAAATGGTATTGTTGGGAAGTTAAAAATAGGTATGTCAATTGCTAAGAAGTTTAGTCCTGATTTTTTTCTTATCCTGATGAAATAACTAAATACTAAATATTTTTCTAGTTAGGTACTAATTGGACACCTACCTTGGAAATACAAACCCACTGATTTGTAAAAGATTTTGATAATTCTCTGTTTTCTCTGAAAGATAATTGAAAAATATTTCCAGTAGTTTAGAATTCTTTTTAAACTCCATTTCTCTAAAGAAAAAAATCTTGCTTATAGGAAAACTACAATGAAAAAATGTAACTAAAAAGGGTTTTTCACCCTACAGTATCTGGTACACACTTAAGACTTGAAAGATAATTAACTGAAGAGACCATACAACACTCTAAAAAGGAGTATTATTATATAGGTATTATTTTAGAAATAAAGTTAACCTGAAACTGACACCTTCACTAAGCCTCTTTTAGAAGGGAAATTTAATCAAGCTAACAAGGAAGAATAAAGAAGAATAAGCCTGAAAGAAAAGAGACAGGATTACTGAATTCTAACTTCAGAAATCTGCTGCTCTGGAATGGATGTATGATTCTAAAAGACAAGTAACTAAAAAAAACACTGCACTGGAAGAAAATAAAGAAAATTACTGAGATCACCTTTGAGAAGCTGACCAATCAATTAAACTAGATCTGTGCTTTCCTACAGAGATCTTATTTGCAAAATTACTTTTAGAAATTTTTTTTTAATAATTTTCTTAAATTATACATACTTATTGTTAACACGATAAGTTCCTTTTCAAAAAATCTTTTCTTTTATGGGCTATTAGAAATTAATCTGTGGCAGTAAATTCAGGAGAAAATACAAATGAAAAGAAAATAAGGAGGTTTATGTTCATGGATTTGTTGATCTTTTTAAAAACACATACCCTTTGTCATACACACAGTGCAAGTAAAACTTCTTCACGAGGGTTAATCTTTACCATTTTGAGACATATAAAACTCACTATAATATCTGCTGTTACAGCTGAGGTACCATACTCTGGTATACATCCTTTTTTGCTAGTAGTGCTTTCTAGTGTGATGTAGCATTATTGCTCACTAGAGACGACTTTTTTAAAAAAAGGGATGTGACAGTGACCCAAGAATGAGAGACTCAGTCAGGTACGGGCAGCACGCGCCTAGAAATGACTGCAGGGTTAACATTTAGCTGGCTGAGGGCAGGACTGGAGGAGAAGGGGTGAGAGCAAACCCCTGCGAGGGCTGGGCTGCAGCCTGGCAGCCTCCGTGGGCAGCCCCAGGGCGAAGGCACCAGACCGAGGTAGGGACTGGACAGCCAGCTCAGCACGCAAACACGAACCCCTTCGGCCCAGCAGCTCACGGGGTAGGACTTCAGAGGCATGAAATGATGACTTTTGAAAAGAGTTACCCTTCTAAGTTTACAAAAATGGTTTCTCATTTTCAGATCGCATTTATGATCCTCTTCCAAGAGAGAAACCAGATACAAAGTGGCCTTCACTCCAGCAATGATGCAGACAAGGAACTATTGTAACCACACTACTTGGAAGAGTTTTTTTTCCACAGATACACAGGCAGGGCTGGCAGAGCAGCCCACAGCAGAAACTGCACAACGACAGAATGTAACGCCTGCTGCCAAACCCTGGCATGTTAATTCCCAGTCATGAAAATCTTCTCGCAGACAGATCAAGAACATGACATCTTTTCTGAAACAGGAGTAGAAAAATTTGTCTCTAATCCTTCGACTGAACTGTGCACCTTGGTGAAGGTTGGGATGCATGGAATTTGTCCTGACTTTCAGAACCCTACCTGCCTGTCATCAAAGCTGTCATCGTGTGTTTGCATTTTAAGTCATACCTTCGCAGATACAAGCACTGTGTGTGGAATAGCTGGCCTGCCACAGAAGATCTGGGCTACATCCTAATATTGGTCCAAGCGACTCAACAGACTGAAGATGTGCGATCGCATGAAATCAATTTAGACATTTGCTTCAACTGAGTTCTGTGCACTTCAGCTCTTCCACTTCATCAGTTTGGTTTTTAATTCATCTTCCCTGGCTTGTGCGAACTCACAGATAGGCTCTGGACTAGCAACCTATGTGGAGCCACTGCTTTCCATAACTGCAGAAGAGCTGCGCCTTCTCCCCACAACAAGTTGTACATGCCCTTGTCTTGCATCACTTTACAATGCAAAAATTTTGGCTGGAATAAAATAACACAGATAACACTACTCTTCAACCAAATTTGTATGTGCTTTTGAGCCTGCGTAAGAGAGCTTTGTCAGAGATTCTACATTTAATTTTGAACTGCAGTACATTTGTTTTCAATTTATGATTATTATTAAAAGGAAGAATCTGATTCTTTCCCAGGCATGAAACAATTACATTAGTCTAAAAATGTCACAAAGACCAATACTTGTTAGTTAAAAATGAAAAGGAAAAAAACTAACCAGAAGGAAGAGTAAGCAGACTGCCAAGTGCTTTTGGAGTACCAAGCGTATGTGTTTTTTTAAAATATTTGGTGAGATTACTAGTTTTTCTGACAACAATTTTTAAGAACATACATGGGGATAGAGGAACAAGATGGACAGGAAAATCCCACCCTCCTACAGAAGTCTCAGGTACAGCAAACATTCTTGTGAAAGATACCCTTGGGATATAATTCAGTGTCTGAAAAACCCAGATACAACTCCTTAAAGATTAAGGTACTTATTTGTTTATACTGTTTCTAAAGCAAGGAAATGGACACACCCCATCCCTCCAAATATCCTTTTTTGCTTGCCATGAATGCTTGACTAGAAAACATACAGTTCTGAAAATAAAAGGAGCAGAGCTCTCTGGATCTACCTACCTTTTCTACAGAAGAACAGAATCTCATTCACAAAATAAAAAAGGATAAAACAAGCATCTCAGTAAGAACAACACTAACTCTATCGACACTGGTCTATCTCATTTTGCAACAGATGCTGCTAGATGAAATCCTGCAGGTCTCAAAGTCATAAGCAGTACTGGAAATAACTCCTCCTACACAGTGCTCAAAAAAAACCCCAAACACCTGGCATAGATAGCTCATTGATGGCAGAGCAATACCTCGAAGAAGATGAGAAGAGTACATATTGCTTTAGGTGATCTATTGGGATATTACATCCCATAGTAGAATTAGAAAGGAGCACCGTATTACGAAGTAGTCGTCTTGCCTGGAGATATTTCCATTTGAGTTCTCTGAGCTGCTATTTGTTATTTGCTATTTCCCCTCAATTTTCTAAACCGATATCTACTTCATAAAGCAATTAAATGTTCTTACCAATATTGGGATGCTTCAAGAGGCGACAGATTCTAGCTTCTCTTTCCAGTTTCTGGTGATCTGCAACAAAGGAAAGCAAAGCAGTTGCTTTTAGTATGAAGATTAACATGGTTCAGTGTATTTGCTTTACAGAAGAAAAAAAAAAAAGCATTATCTGATGTGATCTTTAAATAATATCTTCTTTATTTAGATCCATTAAAATTTTACATTCAAACTATCTGTAATACTGAATTAGGTTACTGCACCCAACCACTTCTTTGATGGACTACCACGGGCGGACTCATTAGAAAAATCAAGCTGACGATTTACTGGGGAGAACAGGTAATAGTCATGCCATATCCTATAACTACCAGGCAGTAAACCACGTTACAACATTAATCACAAGAAGGACAACCTGAACCTCCAGCATTACCTTAAACCCTCCCTGTTAACTGGTACACAGTTTGACACGCAGCAGCCGTGCCGACAGTGCCAGCACACCTGCCCCTACACGCTCCCACCACAACACGACGCTACAGGAACTTCCAGTAACTAATGACCAGCAGTTATTATTTTCCCAGCAGGGCTCATCTTTCTCTCAGGCTGATTATTCATTAACCCGAAGACACCCCGAACATGTAGGTCCAGGTGTACCATCTGTGGGCTCTTCCTCTCCCAGCCATCTGATTTTTGACCTTCAGGCAGAGCAGCAGGCTGGAGGTCTGCACTTGTACACCACAAGCCCTAATGACACCATTTCTGCAGATAAAATACTACTACTTGCATCAAGCTCCATTTTACTTAAGCTGTTTGGGGTTTTGGGGGTTTTGTTTTGTTTTTTATTTTGTTTTGTTTTTTAATGTGGCACGCTTTTATAATATTTGCTCCAAATACCACCATTTATAGTACTATTTCTGTTGCATTTCGATTAACATTAAGTAATAGAGTATTTGTTTTATATAATGTATATGAGAGTGTTGGGGCGGTGCATAAATTATTTATACTGAAAATAACTGAAGGTCGTCAGTGATGTTAAAACATCTAGTGTCAGGCAGTATAAAACACACACAGGTAACTCAGGCATTAAAATACATAATTTGGAGATAATAAAAATAGCCAGCTAGTGCCTACTGTAATCTTGTAATTCCAACAGACTTCTAGTGCATTTATCCTTACTTTCTGCCGCATAATTTCTATGGCTGCTAATAATATTAAGCTTTTGTCAAGAGGCAGAAAAGCAGCACAGATTCAATTTTATAATATTAGCTAAAAATAATTTTTCAAAATTAGAAGAGAAATAAACTGTAAAATGTTCCTGCAGATGAGGCTCTTTTGCTATTATTTTAACTAGCTCCAATGTGATATCCAAGGATATTATAATAACCAATCCTTCACAGGGACTCAAACTTTAAATGTCACACAAGTAATCTGGGTTGTGCTATCTCTGCAATCCTAATTATCCACATTATGTTTGAGAACACTTTTAACGAATGAAAGGGGAAATTTTTAACTGTCCTTCCACCCCATAAAAACAGTAGTCCACACAGTAGGTTTTGAGTTGAATAGCCAGCATTTAGAGAATATAAAAAGTTTAATCTACGAAACAGTATTAGGCATCAAAATACTGCAACAAGAATGAAGAAGTTATCTGTTTTCGCAATGTAACTCTCACAGATCTATTATGGTATCTGTTCTCTCCCATAATACCTTCAGTGTAATTAGGTAATCTTTCCAAGCCACTAAATCATAGTTCCTCTGATACCAGTTTGACATCAGTGACTGTTGCCTGAGAGCCAGAATAGGATTCAAGAAAAAAAACACACTATCAACCCCCTTCTCTTTGGTGCCTGAATACAGCAGTGTGATCCTGACATCCTCCTTTTAGCTGGTGCCCGACTCCATGAATTGCCTCAGCACTTCTTTCACCTTTCTCTCCTGTGGAGAATCCTAGTGTTCCCTGTTCAAGCCCACCACAATCCAGAAAGATCTCCTTCCTAAATCAGCCAAGGGGCGACAGGAAGCTTTGCAGCCGCATTTAACCAGCAGGCAGTTACCGGGCTCTGTGGGAAGCACTTCCAGCTCCATTCTCTTTCCAATCAAGCACTGGGTGCTACTCCTTTTAGAGAATTCAGTCTAAACATAGATCGGCAGTCTCACCCTGAAAGTGGGAGAACTAAATTCCACCCAGATGGCTGTGCCAGCACAAGGGAGACAGGGCAGCACAGCGCGACAGCGAGGGTGGCCAGCGGCCTCTGCTGCTGCTGAAAAACCCCACCTCACGAAACCACAACTTTACTTTCCTGAAGATCGCTCTGGCTTCAGCCAGCACACTGCGGAGTTGCTCTGCACGTGGCTCGTTAAGCAGCACACAGAGATCCTCTGGATGAGTGAGGTGAGAGCGGTAGGTGCAGCTGGGAGCAGCGGGTGTGTGAGGGCACGTGGCAGTGATCCTGGGCGTTCCCGGCGGTCCAGGAAGACACAGCCGCCCTGCTGCGAGGGCTGCTCCACATGAAAAGCATCAACAGCCCCTGCATAAAACACTTGAGCCGTGATGGGAGCGATGACCACAACCGGGGTGTCTTCCCACCAGGTTGGCTGCTCAAGTCACAAAATGACTTATATATCCTGGTTGTTCCAGCAGCGATTACTATTAAGGATTGAACTGGGATCTTGAGTGCTGTTTGTCCTGCCACTGACTGTGCTCATTACCAGCTAGCCAGCTCTGGCAGCCTGTTTGCTCAATGCACTGAACAATTGACTCCTGATTGCGGGCATGACCTCCCAAGTGTGATGAATGATAGGAATAAAATGACAAACAGTAACAATTCCAATCCCTCGAGATACTTAGTGCTTATAAAAGCAATGACGGCTAGCGGAATAAATCAAAGATTAATTTATTGATGAACTGTGGAAGCTTGGCTTTGGGGAGGGTGGGTGTCACTGAGGGTTGTTTTTGTTTTGTTTTATTTTAACAAACTGCTGCCAAACAATTCAACTCCTATGCCCTTCTGATGCACGTAACTAAAATGTTCTTAAAAACTTGGGCAAGATACCAACGGTTTATACATATAGACCCACGTGACACACTCTGGCAAAGCATAAACCTGGAATTCTGAAGATAATAACAGCAACAAAGCCGACATCTAAAAAGTGCTATACTACAGCCTGAAGATCACAGTCTGTATAAAAGTTAGACACACTTGATGACTTGTGACTACCGTGTTTAAAAATGCATGGGGATAAGAGGACAAGCTGGGCAGGAAAATCCTAACCTTCTCCTGCGGGAGATGTCTCAGGTGTAGCATGCAGCCTTACAGCAGAGAGACGCTTGGCAGGGACCTCTGGGTCTGAAACATTCACGACAAGCTCCTTAAAGCCAACCTCACACCAGTCTGGGTGAAGCGAGACAGACTGACCTATTTTACATATATTTGGAAAGCAAACTACTAAATCATATCAAATAGTAATAGAAGGGATACATTAAGTCTCCAGCTCTCCTGACAGATCTTGACAACTTAGTAATTGTCCTCAATTAATGAGCACTATTTTTCTGGTAATTCATTTCATCCATCCAACTGTTTTCAGGCATAATCAATAAAGACTTCAGTAAGCACAGTTAATGTTGTCAACAGAGAGGTCATTGACAAAGAGCAATGAATTTGAATGCAAGAAGTCCTGTAAAAATTATAGCTGTTCAGCTACTGCAACAAGTTTTAAATTAGGACATGTTCAAGAAACAGGGAAGTGAGGGACACATTGCCATTATCCACCTAATTTCATGTGTTAAACCCAAGCAAATCTAGATTTGTGATGCCAGTACTACTGTGCAGCTCCAACAGAAGGGATGCTAGGAGAGGGATGTCAAAGCGCTGTTCCAAGAGGAATATAGCACCAGGTTTCACACACAAACTGCCTGGCAGCTCACCAACACAGACCTGAGGTGTAAAGAAAAACACCAAAAAACCCACAAAGAGGCAAAACCAACCAGTAACCATAATCGGATTGCTCAGCGACATCATTTTTTGCAGAAAACATAAGCAGCATTCGTATAGGGCCTTTTCATGAATCAAGAGGTAATCTACATCAGAGAACCACTGGCTGCAAGAATAAGATGACAGCAGAAATTGTATTTGGTATGAACCTTAAGGAAACATCAAAATACACTGGGCACAGTTGTCAGTAACACCTAAATGCTATAATAACAAAAACAGGAAATATGAGGCCATTGTTACAGAAATATATGATGTAAAACTAAATATAAAGGCATTTTATTTACTTTTACTTTCTCTGAAAGTAAGAGATTTCCAAAGTCAAATAATGATAAAGTAGGCACTGATTCAGTAGTAGAGATTAATGCAAACACATGCAGTTCTGCTGCTCTAGCAATTCTCTCTATAATAAAAGGGAAAAAAAACAGTCAAAATGCAAAATGTCAACCTCTACAGGCAGAAATATTACAAAAAGACAGAAACATGTAGCAAATATATTAACCCAGAAAAATCCAAGCATTTGGTTCCTACATTGCAAATCTAACTGAATATGCTGACAAGAAAAAAAGCCCAGTTTATTAGAAAAATAAGCACTATCCTGCAATATGTTTGAAATAGGTAAGCCTGAGTAGTAACTTTTTAAGTCAAATAACACACAGGTTAAGCATGTTTAAATATCAACTAATTAGAAAGGAGCTCTTCTGTACATTTTCCCCCCTGATAGGGATGCTATTCTCATTTTTTTCATATTGAAAAAATACACAAATAAAACACCTAAAAAGCTAGCAGTTTTCATTTAAATCATACCAATGAAGACATATTGTTTTAATACAATGTTCCTTGCTAAAATAAAAGTTTCTGAGACTTTTTGAAGCCCACAAAGATATAGAGCATAAGTCAATTTGTTTTCTCTGCAATAATTGTACTCTTTTAAATAAAGTATGTGAACATTCAATTATGTGATTTACTATGATGCAACCACAATAAGCATCATAGATTTCCCAAAATACTAACTGTGGAAAACATAACTGTTTGGAATGTAAAAAAAAAATGCTACAATTGAAGTACGGTGCTTTAACCTTTAAATAAAAT